AATTGGGTAGCTCAAGTAATAGTGGGCTACAGGTACGACATCTAGTGTAGTTCATATGGGTTACATATGCAAGACTGTTTAAATAAACAACCAAAAGTTGTATATATGGCTAGTATGTATCCTCGTTAATGTAACAAAGTCAAGGGTAGCCCTGTGGCTGCCCTAGCATTCGATCCAAAGTTTAATAAAACGTGCCAGACCCCAAAGTGATCACCTTAACATTAAAAAAAAAAAAAAAAAACAACCAAAATGTTGTAAAAAAAATGAGAATTTTTCGAACTAAAATAAAAGGGTTACTTTTATTTGAGTCCAATTTTATTAGTAGAACATAATAACTGTAATCAAATTTTGGCTCCAAAATCCGAAGGTTGCTTTTATTTGAGGTTGCTTTTAATTAGTAATATACAATAAAGGCTAAAGCTACTTTACTTTTTAATTTAAGCTTTTACTAAAATAGATTAATGATCTTATTAGTCTATATATAGAATATTGAGTAGAGAGGTGTTAGCTATTATGAAATCATTGAGCCAGTAGTTATATTTGTATATTTTATAGTAAGCTGAATATTTAGATTAATGTTTGTTTTTAATTAGAATTGAGAACTAGAGACATTGTGTAAATTAATTCGAGAGTTCTATATATTTAGCTTTTCAGATTATCTTTTGGATCTCTTTGATAACATGATGAAAAAAGTAGCAAATAAGATTTTTAGCATGTTGGTATCTGTTTGAAAATTTTTGTTAATAATAATATTATTAGTAATAATTCCAAGAGGTGCAGATTGCAGTTTGTATATAAACTTTTATAGAAAGTTTTGTCTAAAGTTAGTTATATTTATTTATCTAATATTTTTGTATTGTTTGATTGAGAACTTGTGTGACTATTTCTTCAATTGAATGCATATTGGTTATACATATAAGCCAGTATTGGTTATCTTTATTTATTCATATACATCTGTGATATATAGGGTTGTTGTATTTAGCTAGGTATCAAATATGTAAGTTAAGAAGTATTAGAAGTTCATTTATTATTAATTTCATTTTAAAGATTTTGATTTTGGTTTAAGTAGGATATGTATATCAGCTTAGAGAGCTGTTATAATAGTTTATAAAATTGAAGGTGAGTTTCTAGTTAATCTCTTTTAGATCTAGATTCCATAGGTGTATTCTATTTAGATTGTACTAGTCTATTATATTTTTTGCATTTTGTAGGTGCCTTAGTAGCTTTCTTGAATTATGAGAAAATGTATAGTAGCTTAGTTTAGAAGTATAGATATTATGCAGTATTAGCTTTGTATTGATTTCAGTAACAATAGTTGTGATTGTAGTATTTGATTTGATTGTAGTATTTGTAGTTGTTATTTGTATTATTAGGTTTTTTCTTGTGATTGCTACTTTTATAATTGCTTTGTAAATTCTAAAAGGTGTAGATAATAATTGGTTGGCAAGGTATGTAGAAGTTTGAATTATGTTTGTAAAGTTATGAGCTAATTGTTTTTCATCTGTGATGATGTTTAATATACATGCATGTGGTATAGTAGTAATTAGAGTTAGCAATGCTGTTAGCAGAGCTTTTTTTTGAACAGCCAAATTAAATTTGAGATTTGTAGGTCAAAAGATGTATTGATTATTGTCGCGGCTGATGCTGGAAACGGCTGAAGCTAGAAATCAGAGACCCTGATTTAAAAATATAAACCCTGCCAAAATCCACTTATACTCTTTTATTATAAAAACTAACCCTAAATCCTAATCTAACCATGAAAAAAAAGCTAAAAAAATGCACTCCAAAAAATTTTGAAAATTTCATAATAAAATATTTAAAATTTCCAGCTTCAGCCGTTTCCAGCTTCAGCCGCAACAATTATTATCCAGCAGGCTATAAAGTTATATATTGAGTGTCATACCATTAGATTGTATATATATATTAGCATTTAATATTTTTTTCCCATAGAGAGACCTGTATATTTCATATAATTTTTGTTGTAGATTGGATATAGCATCCATTAAGTTTTTGAAATCTGATCTTTATATATAGTAAAGGTGTGTTTTTGTAGTAGTTTTGTAGTATTAGGGTAGGTTTGTATAGAAGTTGTATATAGATCTATAATGTTTGTGTATATATATTTCTTTTTGTCTACTTGTATATATATTAAATTTTGCATAGAATCTTTGAAATAATAGCATTGTTGGTTTGAAGAACTAAGTCTGCATCCCATGCACTTGGTTAATTGTTAAGGATTGTTTAATAATTGTATCTAGTATTAGAAGATAATAGTTTAATTTTTCTTTTTTAAGAATTTTGCAAAAGCCTGGAGTTATGGGTTATAAATCAATTTCTGGACTATAAAAGCCTTTGAAGACTACTTTTTTAGCCCTTTCTCGTCGTCAAGGGCTTGGGCCAGGATATCAGCACAAATTCTTTGGGTAGCAGCAACAATATCTCCTAACTCAGGGCTGCGAGCAGAAGATAAAACATTGTTTTCTGAGCTATCATCTTCACGAGAGCGTTATTATACACAGATTATGAATTTCCTCCTTACCGTTTTGCTCGGAGACTTGCAAATCACTGAATTCGTATTGAAAATTGCCGCTCCTGGAAATTAAGAAACCGCTTAAAAATTTATTAACTTAGGGTTTTATATCTCTTTTGCGGGCATACAATGTGTTAGTCATTTAAAGGTGATATAGTAAAGAGGTTAGATTAGACAAGCTGTTTATAGATATTCTCTGCTGCAGCAATATCATTTAGAAGGGTGTTGTACCACTTTGGTTGTCTGCCTATAGGTATTCTTTGTATATTGTGATGTAATTTCTGTCAAGTTAAGAGCTGTATATGAAAATAGTTAGTTAATTGTTTAATAAAGTAAATATAATGTATATTTAGTTTCTCTTTTATAACTAAGATTTTTGAATTTAAATATAATATATTATTGATAAAGGTTTCTGTTTAATTCATTGGTATTGACCATATATTACTATCATTGTATAAAGTAAATTGTATTTTGTAAAGTTCTAGTATTATTTATGCAGTAGTTGTTTTGTTTTCTAGTAATAGAAAGATGGGTTGATAAGTAAATATTAAAAGGTTTATAGTAACCGAATTTTGTAATTGTTGTAGCTGTATTTTTAATATAGATGAGCCAAAAGAGGTGTAATTAAAAATTTTAAAAAAATTGTTAATATAATGTAATTGTTGTGTATTTTGGGTTGTTTTTAGACTATAAATTCAGTTGTGAAATAGTATTGAACTTGAAATAATACTAGCAAACTCGACTTTGTATTTAGTAAGGTTAGTATAGGATTTGGTGATTTTATTCAACTGTAAGTTTGAAAGAAAGATGTTTTAGATCCAATAAGCAAATCAGGTGAGGATTATTGAGTCGATTATGTAAATTGCTTGCTTGTCTATTATTCTTGCATACAGTAACTTTCATAAAACTGCTGTAATTTCATCTGTAATAATAGTATGAGTAGATTTGTGAAAAAGAGTTCTGGAGAACCAGCATTCTAAGAATCTAAAAGCTTGGTCAAGAAGAATGTTAGATATTGTTTGTTGATTAAAAATGATCTGTATATTGTTTATTTTGGTGTTTGTGGCTAATGTTGATTTGTTTAAATTTACTTTTATGTTGGTCATATTATAAAAAGATATTGCTATATGGATTATAAGTTCTAGAGATTGTTTGGATTGGACAATCTATGTGGTATTGTCTATGTATGCTAGGCAGAAGATATGTGAGTTGTATGTATTAAGTTCAGCTTTAGTATTAAAATTAAATATAAATAAATTAAGAGCATAATTGTTTTTTTTATTAAATTATAGTAATTTTTTGTTTGTATAAATTTATACTGTATATAAAATTTAGCGTGCCAACTTATTTGATTTATAAGTAACAGAAATAAAACCCCGTATAAGAACATGTTCTGTAACTGGTAGAGAAGATAGGTTAAACCAATTTACGTGCAATAGGCTTATGGTTCTTTTAAACCGTTATCTTTATTAAAGGTTATTGATAAAAAATACATCTGTTTTAAAAGTTTTTCAAGAAATTCTAAAATATATATTTAGGCACCTATTCTTTGATAGATTATTTTTTCCCTCGATCCTTAATTGCCAATCCAATGATTCCTCCATCCTCAATATTATAGTATGCTAATGATACTTGATTTTTCATCACGGCACCGCCTATTGTAAGTTTTTGCTTTCCCGCTGGAAAATTCAATTTTGCAAAAATTTTATCCTTCACAGCAGAAACCAGTGTCGTGAGTGATAAATTATCTAGAACAATAATTTGCCCTTGACAATTCCATTCTGGTTTTTCAGATATTATCGGGCACTGAATCTGTATACTTATTAATCCCTATGAAATTAAGAATAAAATTATATAAATAATTAGATACTATAAATAAATTGATGATAATATTAATTTTCGATGTAATTTAATACCTGATGAGAAGCTATCCATTCTTCTTCTGATACGAGGCTTCCCATCGAGGATCCATTATCTAATTTTTGTCGCTTTGATAGCATAGTAAAGTCCCCCTCGTCTTCCATTGTTCTACCTGTTTAATGAAGATAGACAAATGATTAGAATAGAAAATACAAATGATGTCGATTAAATTGCATACCTGGTAAAGATTGGCGAAGTTGAGGAATTGGCGGGATAGGTGGGCGGACTTGAGAGGGTTGTTGGGAAGTCATATTAACATTTTGAGGTGCGATTGGTGCAATAAAACCCGGTAATTGGTGTGCAAATGGTGCAGAAGACCCAACATAACCAGAGTACGCGACTGGTAGAGGTCCCGGAGGTATTGGAACATTTTGCGTTGTGTGAGATGGATAACCGGTGAATATAGGTTGTTGAGTAGAGGAAATATGTGGTTGCATCCCTTGTTGATGAATATGTTGAATTTGATGCTGATGTGAATGCTGATCCTGTAGCTGTGGTATCCTTGGACCAATCTTAGAGTCGCTATCACTAGTCAAATGTACAAGAAATAGTGTCGTCATGGTCATACTTTTATATGAATTTGAACAAATCCAAAACACGTAAGATTTTATATATATACCTTGTCAAGCCTTTGCTTCGATGAATTGCCGCAATTTGTTCATCGATTGAAACACCAGCCGCTGCTCGTTGAGTTGCCATATTTATAGACGCAGTATGACCATCCCATACAACCTTTTCCTTTTCAATTCGTTTCTTCTTTTCTTCCTCTTCCCCAATCTAGCATATAGATAATGACATAATGAGCAATCAACCCAATTGTGTATCTGATCATTGCAATTAAAAATAAAATAAACTCACCTTTCGACCGATTTCAGTTTCCTCATTTCCAAAAATATCGGAACGATATCCGGAAAATGTCTTGAGAATTTTAGCAACATCCGTTCCTATAATTGAATAATCGCGTCAAAGTTATACATTTAATTTGAAATATAAAGAAATGAGTGCCAATAAAACGAACCCTCTTGTAACAAATTTGATTCTTTCTTCTTTGCATCCGCTGCCATCTTTTGTTCTTTCCATTTAGGATCTAATAATTCTATACGGACATGATTATCCATCTCGTCCACAGGAACTGCTTGATTACATCTTGGGCATATGACCGTTTGTCTTTCGGTGGTAGCTTTAGGCGCATAAGCTAACAGAAATTTAATTGGATATAAAGTTAATTATACTAACAATAACTATATATGTATTTAAGTTTGTTGAATGTTTATTACGTTTGGGTACATAATCTTTAACAATTTTCATAGGGGCAGACGTATCTGGAGGTTTAATTTCTGTTACAGTAGGTGTCAATTCTTGATCCTGGTCATCATCATCCACCGCTGCTTGGTCATCCTCCTCTTCTTCCATGTCAACATCTTCATCCATCTTTTTAAAAGCAAAAAAATTGTTTTTAACAATTACCCACGTATATCCAAAAAGTATAAAATACAAACCTCCATATCAATCTCGGCTGCTTTATCTTCATGGGTTTCTACAATATTAACTGATGCCATCTTCTTTTGGGCAAGGGTCATGTTTTCCAACTCAATGATACTCATAGGTGGAGGGAGATCAATTGTTTCATCGGCTTCAGTAAATTCAACAGTTTCCACAATGACAAAATCATGCCAATCAATTGATGCATATGCAACTAAACAAATCAAATTAGTAAAATGATAGTCATATTGAAATTCTATATAATAATTATAAATGTTCTTACTTCTTTCTTGATCTTCTTTTTCTTCTGCCTTTTTTCTTTCTTCTTCTTGATATGCAGCATATTCAACCCGTTGCATCACACGTTCCAATATCTGATACTTATTATCGACATTAGATTTTAATTTTTCATTCAAATTTTTTTGCGGAACCAACACCTTAGTATACTGTTCGACCAATTTCGTGAAATAATTACATAAACTATGATTCGGTCTTAGAAAATCAAATTGATAATTGCGTTGTTCACGCTGCGATAAAGCTGTCATGAACTTTCGTCCATTACGCGCTACGAATTGAGCTGTTAACTTCAGAATGTCACTAAAAAATATAAAACTTATTATAAAGCACTATTCGATAGAAAAAACAACAAATCCACACAAACAATATGATCTTACAGGTCCTGTGCTGATATAGAAGGCATATCATTCATAAATTCAAAAGGTGGAGGTTCCTTTGGTGGAGCTCTTGGTAGAAAACCTTCTTCCTTAACCTCTACTTTAAGCTCTTTTGGTTCAGCCTTTTTAGAAACTAACATTTCAACACATCAATTTGCAGTTAATAAACAGAAAATCATAAATATATGGAATAAAAAGGAAGTAAAGAATAAGTCGTAGATACCTTTACCACCTTTGGTCTCGGCGATTTTATACTGATAGTAAGCGTGATACGGATCGTTGGGATTCAAAAAGCTGAATTTGGCGTTATGTTTTTCATTTTCGCGGATGCGTTCTTCAAATTGTACGCCATTTCTTGCAACAAATATGGCAGTCTTATCAACGATATCTATAATTTTCAAGGTTAAGGACAGTAAAGAGTTCTTTTTACCAAAAGAAAATAAAATAAAATAAGAGTAAAAATCGAGCAAAAAGATTGTTTTTATTTGATCGGATCAAAATATAATATAAGGAATCTACTCTATATCAATTGAATAATCGATTTTATTAATGGTCCCTTATAATATATTTGATCCAATTGATCTTTACATTTCTATTCGTATTCAAGCTATTTTACTGAACTGTAGTAAAAGGATACTTCGTATATCCGGTGGAGGATAAATGATCCCCACGAGAGGTCTAGCGTCTTCATTATTTAAAGAAGCATTGTTTTCCGCTTCCACATGCGGAAATGAATCGACTTCTGGAAGACTCTCAGGTAATGCTACAGCAACCATTCGTATGTAGTTTAAAGTTTTTGATCTTTTAAAATCGGTCAGTCGCAAAAATTTTATTTATAAAAAAATTGATGTTCTCTGATTGGTCAATCCTTTAAGAATCTTTTTAGAAGGTATAAATTAATATACTGTATTTAAAAAAAATTTTTTTCGAGGTTGGCCAGAATTATAAACATTTTACCAGAATTATGATGACCAAATTTTTAGTTTTATTAGCAAAAATGGTTAAAAAAGTTTTTTATATTTTTACAAAAAAAATTAACTAAATGAATAGCTTATTTTTGGATATTAGCAAAATTTTGTCTATTGTGTCAAATTTTATTAAGTAAATTGATCTAATTTTTTAAGTAAATTTGTTTTTTTTTTTTGGTATTAAGATAAGATCTTGCTTATACAGTATTTTTTTTTTTTTTAATCTTCAAAGGTGATACCATGCCTTTATCTTTATATAGTATTTTTATTTAATAGTAATTATATAAAATACAGTACTACTATTTGTAAGTACAAATAAAAATTAAAATTACTGTACAGTATATACAAGAATAAAAACTTAGATACTATATATTTATTTACTATCTACATCTATTAAAGTAGTTAAAAACTTATTTAGATTATTATTTCTTAAACTATATTCTAGACAAATTTGTCAAAAAATTTAAATTAAGCTATATAAAAAATTTTTTTAGTTTTTATAACCCATTTAAGTCAAAGTTTGAAAATTTGTAAAAATTTTTTTTATATATTTTAATAATTAGATAGTTTTTTTAAAAAATTTTAAGTTGGTTTAGGCTATGGATAAACTAGTCTGATTTTCTTTTCTTATTATTGTTATAGTACCGTGGCCTTCTTAACAGCAGTACTATAACAATGATACGGCTACAGAGATCTTTTACAGGTTTATAGCGGTGTCTAACAGGTAAGTATAATTTCTGCTTCTTGGAGAAACTATACCCTTCTGTCTGTGG